AGTCTAGTAGGGAGAGGCAAGAGATACAAAAGCTAATATTTTTGGGGGCGAACTGATGGGAGAAGTAAAAGATTTAGTGATGAGCTGTAGTTAGAATTGATGGGAGAAGTGAAAGATTTACTTGTTAGCTGTAGACAGATGAGTTTTCAGGGATTGTCTAAGAGTGGATAGAGTAGCAGAAAACCAGACAGATGGGGTAGAAAGTTCCAGGGGATGGGAGAGGCTCTGGAGAAGTCCTGGAGATGAGCATGGAAGGAGAAGACCAGAGAGCTAGAAGGCAGGAGGTCTTTGGAGTGGAGGGGGCGGTTTGGGTGATGTATTGAGATATGATTGGTGATGTAGCTTAGGGCAGAGCTGTAAATCGCTTTGTATGCTGTTGTTAATATTTAAATCAGAAGGCAGTGGAGGGATTGGCAGAGAGGGGTGGCAGACATTGATCGATTGGCAAGTTGGATGAGTCTGGCAGCAGCATTCATGATAGACTGAAGACTGGATAGGGAGGTGCAATAGCCAAGGTGAGAGATAACAAGGTGAATGAGTTGCTTAGTGGTTAATAGTGTATATATATAACTTTTCCTGAGAAATCTAAGTTTGGTCACACACTGCACTGCTTTTCAAGCTTACCCATTGGTCAGTTAAGTAGCCCATCACCCTAAAGGACTAGCAGTGGGGCTTGGAAGGGGGACTGAACAAGTCTCAATATTTACAAGAATAGCCAAAGTTGCATATAACTGCAGCTTTCAATATGATTCTAAAATGCTTTATTAATGAAGAGGGAACTGTTCAGGTTGCTCCCTCCTCCTATATATGTATTGTCACGGTCTCCCCCCTCGCTCTGCCTTTCTTCCTTCCCCCCTCCCCATCAGGGCTTCCCTCTCGCTCTCCCCTTTGATCATCCCCCTCTCCCTTCTCCTTGCAGATTCTTAGTGTACTGAACAAGCCTACATCAAAGGCTGTGCAGGATGGGAGGAAACGCCCCCTGTGGTTCTGGTAGCACCTCTCCTCGGCGAAGCCGCCAAGGAGTCGGGCACCCCGCTAGGAATGTCCGGCGCAGGCCGCTGGGGTGTCTCTTCCCCCCCCCCGGCGGCAGCAGCGCGGGCACGCTGCTTTCCATGCTCTGCACCCACCAGAGACAAAGGCCGCGCTCCCTGAAGCGTGGCCAGAGTGAGGGGGCGTGCCACGTTGCCCAGTCAACCCGGCGCTGGGCCGGCCATTGCTGGGGCAACCGGGAAGCGTCCTGCTGCGGCGTAAGAAGGTCGGAGTGGGACCCAGCCTGTGTGGTTGGTCCCCTGCTCTCGAGAGAAACGCTGTGTGAGCTGAGGCCAGACCCCACAGTCAGGACCCCGCTGGGTCCCTGTAGGCCTGCTGGAAAGCTGATCGCTGTTGGTCCCTTGCTCTGGATAGAAGCTCTGTGTGAGGTCTGAGCTGAGGTCAGACCCCACAGTCAAGACCCCCGCTGAGTCCCCGTGAGCCTGCTGTTGTCCTTGGAAAGCTGAGTACCGTGAGGGTCCCTGTCTGCTGATCGCTGGTTGTACCTGGAAAGCTGTTCCTGTCTGCTGACCGCTGTTGTCCCTGGAAAGCTGAGCCCCGCGAGGGTCCCTGTCTGCTGACCGCTTTGTCCCTGGAAAGCTGTTCCTGTCCACTGGCTGCTGCTTGGAGGTCTGGGCTGAGGCCAGACCCCACAGCCCGGACCCCACTGAGTGTCCGCTGATCACTGTTTGCCCCTGGAAAGCAATCCCTGTCTGCTGACCGCTTTGTCCCGGGAAAGTTGTTCCTGTCTGCTGACCGCTGGTTGTCCCTGGAAAGCTGAGCACCAGGAGGGTCCCTGTCTGCTGACCGCTGGTTGTCCCTGGAAAGCTGAGCACCAGGAGGGTCCCTGTCTGCTGACCGCTTTGTCCCTGGAAAGCTGTTCCTGCCTGCTGACCGCTGTGTCCCTGGAAAGCTGAGTGCTGCATGGGCCCCTGTCTCCTGACTGCTGTGTGCCACTTGGAAGTTACCCCTGCCTAAACCATGAGTGCTCACATTCTCCTTCCTGAACTGCCCCCTTGAATCCATATATTGCCCTGTCTGGACTACCCCCACTGAATGCACCCATACTTTCCCTGCCTGGACTGCCCCATTGAATCTATTATGCTTGCCGGAACTGCATTGCTACCCGAATTGCCCTATCGCGGGCTGGATTATAACTGTTTGGACTCCTCCCCCCTCTTGCCCCCCTTTTGGGAACCCGGACGCTACCTTCCTACCCTGATTCAGTGCCTCCCATACTTCAATAAAGCTTTGTGCGTTTATCATCCTCCGTGTGCGTTCTCTCCTGCCTACGCTTCCATCACATGTATATCGACCAATAAGGCAACTCATCCTAAGCCATCTGGAATGTATGGAAAGCAGGAGGTAGCAGCACATTTCCTGGGTCAGGATAAAAGGTAGGGAATATGGGGAATACACCAATGGCACAAGCTTTAGTGAAGGTGCATTACTATTTATAGTTGCAATAATATGCAAATCTTGATTTCAGGCTTTAGCACTATTAGGAGGTATTGGTAACTTGCCAGTCATTTTGACATAATAGTGGATAGGGAATTTTTTTTTTCAATGACGTCTGGTTGAAGAGGTGTAAACAAAATCTATGGTCACAGCATACATATTCATTTTATAGTATCAGCACTGTAATAGCAATGCAACCAATAGTTATATTTGACAATCTAATATAAGCATACTTAAAAAAATCCCCTTTCATGTTGTGAGTTCTGCTTGTCTGCTGGGTGTCTCTTTCCACAACTTCCTGGATCCCCTGCATGCTTTGCAAATTTGCTGTTTACTTTCCTTTTCTAAGGACTATATATCCCATGGTACCTTGCTGCCTGAAGGCAGTGATTCCTGTACTGACTCCACCTCCTGAAATTCCTCCTCTCAGCACTTTTGTAGTTCAGAAGGCGGGCTCTGTGAAATGTGTGACACAGCAGTGCCGAGCCACAGGGCATAGTGACTACGTGTCACAGAATTTCAGGAAGGAAATGTGTGAGGATCTTCACAAAGGTTACAAACTTCAAGATCATAGTCAATAGGAGTAAGCTAGAAATATTTAAAATACAATGTGGAAATGAATATACAATTTTACATTTGCCTCATAGATACACTTTAAACTGATATTAAACCCAAAACCAAAAATGTAATATATTTACAACTTAGCAATCACTAGACGTGGTAGCTGTAGTAGTTTTCTTCTTCCCTATATTTTCACTTGGTGATCTGTCCAGTACCACACCTTCTGTATTTGAGTGCTTCCACTCTGAATGAAGGCGCAACAGAGACACCTTTTGACGGTAGCACTGTTAGTCTGGGGAGAGGGTAGTGTTGGATGCATTGGCAGATTGAAATACAATAACAAATTGAAGGCAATCTGCAGCTTACACATATAAGCAGTTAAAGCAACAGTTTGTATTGTTCATTAGAACAAGCTGTCCTGTTTATTTATTTATGTAAAACTTTTATCCCAAAAAGTAAACAGACTTACTGGTCATATGACCAGGTGAAAATGAAAGAAAGCCTAAAAAAAAAAAAACTAATGCAGCCATCATATCAAGAAGTGGCTTAGTGGTTAGCGCGTCTGCCTTGCAGCAAATGGGTCATGGGTTCAATTCCCGACCATGGTGCATCCTGCATGGAGTTTGCATGTTCTCCGTGTGTTTGCGTGGGTTTACTCCAGGTGGTCTGTTTTCCTTCCACACTCCAAAGACATGGTGGTAGGTTAATTGGATCCTGTCTAAATTGGCCCTAGTATGTGTATGTATGAATGTAAGTTAGGGACCTTAGTTTGTACTCCCTGTGAGAGTTAGGGACTGATGTGAATATATATATGTAAAGTGCTGTGTAAATTGACAGTGCTATATAAGTACCATAAATAAATATTTGCATTTAATACCACTTTAACAAATAGATGGAACAAAGGTCTCAAACTTGTCCATGATTTCTTAGGCACTGGATGGCTTGGTGCTTAAAGGGTTAGTTCATATCTACCTATGCAGATAAGGGGTGTCTATAGATAAAAAACAAACTGGGCAGCTCTGGCTAAAGTTGAATAATGCCCTTGCTATGTGCTATGGGTGTAGGCCATTTATGAAGCCTGACTGGAATACTCCCAGGATGTTGCTAAGTGAGACCTAATCATTCCTGCCATTTCCACCATCACAAGAGAGAGCTCACAGACACTGAGCTCAGAACTACTACAACAGGGGGAGAGAGAGAGCATGTGAGGGGGTCTGTATCAGAGAAAAAGCTCACTCCTGTGATGGTGGAGGTGAGCAGTAATGACTAGGCCTCACTTAACCACTTCAAGTCCAGACACTTTCACCCCCTTCCTGTCCAGGCCAGCTTTCAGCGCTATCACACTTTGAATGACAATTGCGCGGTCATGCAACACTGTACCCATATGAATTTTTTAGCATTTTTTTGAGACAGATAAAACTTTATTTTGGTGCTATTTATTCACCACTGGGATTTTAATTTTTTTGCTATATAAATGAAATCATCCAAAAATGTTTTTAAAAAAATGTTTTTCTTATACAATTTTGCAAATAAATAATTTTTCTTCATAAATCTTGGCCAAAATGTATTCAGCTGTCTATTTAGTTAAAAAAAAATAACCCAAATTAGTTTATAACCAAAAGTTATAATTTTTCAAAAATTTTTTTTACATTTTTATCAAATTTTTTTATATTATTATTTATTTATTTATTTTTTTTAACTGTAACCCTAGCAGTACAGTGTCACCATAGTGACACGGTTCTGCTTGTGGAGGGTGATGATTTTTTTTTCTTTTTTTACACTGATTGCTTTTATACCCGTAAAGACTGTAAAACAATAATTTTTCCTTCTCTCTAGCTGCATTCCTGCAGCCATTGAGAAATACTGTGTGAGATGTGATTGGTTACAGCTTGTCACATGGTACAAGGCTGTTGTGAATAGCCCTGTACCATGTGATCTCTGTGATCATTCACATATCTCACAACCAGGGGCGGACTGACAACTCATGGGGCCCCCAGGCAATAGGGGATCATGGGGCCCCTGTGTCCTTGCCCAAACTCAAAAAAGCCTATGAAAAAGGTACCAGGGGCATCTCATGGGGCCCCCTGCTGACCCCGGGCCCTCGGGCAGTGCTTGAGTTTCCAAATGATCAGTCCGCCCCTGTTCACAAGTAGTCAGGAAGTGACATCTTGTTTACTACTATTCATGTAATCACTGATTGGACAATCAATGATCACATGAATCAGAACCTCACTCCGGAGGACACAGCGGGCACCGGATCGCAGTGCCGCACGTTGCCAGGGAGCGCACACAGGCAGTGAATTTGGTTGAAACGTCAACCTGCTCCGGCACTGCTCCCATCTGGCCATTTATGTACATCGGCTGGATGGGAAGTGGTTAACAATGTCCTAGCAACGTCCTGGGAGTATTCCAGTCAGGCTTCATGAGGTACGTAAATGGCCTACACCTATAGCAAGGACATTATTTGACTTTAGTCAGCGACACACAGTTTGTTATGTCCACAGACGCCCCTTACTTGCATAGGCAGCTCTTTGGTGAAAGTAAACTTTCCCTTTAATTCTAAATGAGAGTCCATGGATTTTTCAAAACAGAATGTTCGGACTATACAATATATACCCAAAAGTTTATGGACACCTAACCATCACACCTATATGTGTTTGTTGGACATGCTATTTGAAAAACCATGGGCATTACCCTCTTGTGTACCTTGTGGGCAGGTGGCTTGTGCAGACAAAGCAGCGTACCCATACGTCACTATCTGCTTCGGGCATGCTTGTCCTCTGACAACATCTGCTGTGGTTGTAAACAGCAAGAGTCTATCAGCATGTCCCAGTCAATGATTCATGGCCAGGACCTGATTAGATTAGATTCAACTTGATTGTCATTACACATGTAAAAATACAAGGCAACAAAATGCAGTATAGTATCTATAGTATCTAACCAGAAATTCAATAGGCAGTACAAAATATACAGTGTCTGCAATATGTATGTACAATATGCCGATCGGCTGTGTGCAATGACAGCCTAGAGCCCTGTGTTGACAATCAACACAGAGCTCTGTACAGAAGGAATAATCTCTCTGTTTCTTATCTCTGCAAAGGGATAAGAAAAAAGAGATCTGTTAGTAAAAGAAGCACATAATACACACATAACACATTATTATGCACACATTTGTTCCTTGATCACCTTAGATCCGGGGCGGACTAACAACTCATGGGGCCCCCAGGCAATAGGGGATCATGGGGCCCCTGTGTCCTTGCCCAAACTCAAAAAAGCCTATGAAAAAGGTACCAGGGGCATCTCATGGGGCCCCCTACTGACTCCGGCCCTCGGGCAGTGCCCAAGTTTCCAAATGGTCAGTCTGCCCCTGCCTTAGATGTTAACCCCTTCTCAGCCAGTAACATTAGTACAGTGACAATGTATAGTATTAGCACTGATCACTATATTAGTGTCACTGGTGCTGTCAGTGGCAGTTAGTTCCCACACAGCGCCAGTTAATGTCAGACTGCCCACTGCTCTATCGCAGTCCCATTATAAGTCGCTGATCACCGGTGTTAGTAGTATATAAAAAAAGTTCCAAGATATGTACCATAGTTTGTAGACACTCTAACTTTCAAGCAAACTTATCAATATACATTTATTGGGATTTTTTTTTTTTTATCAAAGACGTAGCAGAATGCATTAGATTTTTTAGATTTTTTTTATTGGATATGATTTATAGCAGAAAGTAAAAAATACAGTTTTTTTTTTCAAAATGTTTGGTCTTTTTTCATTTATATCACAAAAAAAAAAAACAAAAAACCCAGTGGTGATTAAATACCACCCAAAGAAAGCTCTATTTGTGTGAAAAAAAAATGATATAAATTTTGTTTCGGTACAGTGTTGCGCAAATACCACACAATTACCAGTTAAAGTAGCGCAGTGCTAAATAGTATAAAATGGCCTGGTCATGAAAGGGTCAACTACTTGACCCTTTCAGAGCTCAAGTAGTTGTTATGTTTTTTTTTTCCTTCCTCAACTTGCAACTAAAACAGCCTTCACCTTTTAGTTAGGCTTTCCTAGAGATTTTGTGTGTATCTTTAAAGTTGTGCTCATTAAAATAATTTTGTGAAGTCAGGTACTGATGCTAGATGAGAAGACCTATCTCCACATTCCAATTCATCCCAAAGTTGTTCGGTAGGGTTGAGGTCATGACTCTATGTTGGGCAATCGAGTCTCTGAAAGCCAACTATGCACAGGGGCACAGTCATGCTGCAACAGAAAAGGGCCTTCTCCAAACTACTTGCTACAAGATTGAAACATACATCTAAAATGTATGCAGTAGCATTAACAGTAACCTTCACTAGAAACACTTAAACTCAATATATTTGTTCACATACACTTGGCCATATAGGTAGGTGTGATGGCCAGGTGTCTACAACATTGGACTGTATATTGTTATAGCCTAAAGCACGATATCCATGGGCCAAAAAGTGACCGGTTCAACAAAAACCGGCCAATTTTCAGTCCGTGTGTACCATTGTCTGATCAACAGAAGCTCGTCTAATGACTTCTAATGACAACTTGCTGGTTGTACAAAAAAAAAAAACAAAAAACCTGAATGTGTATACCCTGCTTAAGTTTATGTGAAAAACCCCCCAGCTATTTTAAAGTTGATATTTACATAAGAACTCCAGTGTTCTGGGGGAGCGTTGGGGTGGGGAAATATCAGCTGTATCATATGGAGCCCTATAGTACCATCTGTTTAATGCCAACTGTATTTTTTACTCCTTGTACATGTTTACTTTAAATTAAAACATAACATTTATAGCAAAAATATTTTTTTTCAATGAGTGTCCTACATAGATTATTGAAAAAAAAAAACATACTTTCAAGCCAATAAAGTAAATTACCTGTTTTTCCAAACATTTGCTCTTGGCTTTGATACTGTAAACTCCTGTTCTGAGTGACTTTGCAAGATGTCACTTTCTTGGAAATGTTGGCAAGCAGTGAGGTTTCTGGTTGACTTGTAAAGTAGCCAAAAGTGTAAGCAAACCTGTTTTCTGCGGCAATGTTTCCCGATCTTCTGTTTTCTTGAAATAACCATTTACAAAGTACAGTAAAGTAATCCCCTACAGAAATATTAAAGTACAACTGTGGTCTAATTAAAAAGAAGGATACTGAGAAGATGTTGAAGTAATGTAATATAATAAAGTGACTGCTTTTTCTGTGTTGGGAGAGCAGCTGATACATAAACAGGTCTCCAGTAAACATCACCATTGGAGTCCATACCTGATTTACTAACGTTTATGAGTGCATATTGTTGCATCGATTGTGTGAAAACAACCAAATCGTATCTTTACCATTTTTACTGTGTGCGCCAACACAAAGGCAGGTTGATTCACCTGTAAATTTATTAAGAAGTATGTTTTGTTATGGAGTAGTAGGCAAATAAGTGGTGATGTACCCATATATTTTTGCATCTATTTGGCTGCTTTTAGTGATTTTACATATGCATCTTGCATAGGAAAAAATCTGCATGATGTGCCTATTGATATTAATATAGCCCTTTCACCAAGTAAAGAACTTTAAAGAGCAGCTGTCTGTAAAGAAGGTGGTTTATACTTACCTCTCTGGTGGGTGGCGTGTTAAAACTTTGCTTTCTTAAAGAAAGGTGTCACTGCTATTTAAACTTTTCTGGTGTGTCGAGTGGCGTGTTTCCTGCTGAGAGGCATGGTTTTTGCCCACTAACCCCTATGCCACTATAGGACATATTTAACGTTTTAGGTTTTCTTTACTTGACTTGCAGAAAAAAACAATGTTTACAGTTTTCAATAGCTCAATGTGAGGTGTACATACAGAACTGAATAACACAGAGTAGTGCTTTTCTTGAGCACCCTGGCTGTGTACAGGTGATTCTCATGAAAGTTTCAATTAGAGGACCTGAAAGTAAACAGCTTCTGCTCTGCTCTCTCTTTAGACGACCGATAGTGGTCTGTAAATCCCATGGCATAAGTACTCTCTGCATTATATGGTTATGCACAAAGAAATTTGTTTATATAAGCAGAACATTTAAAAAAATAATAATTTCAACAAAATCATCCCAAATCCATTATAATCTGGTGTCTTTAGATTGGTTCCTCTGGATCCTAGACCTAGGCTGTGTTATGGGACAACACTTTAATCCGAGTGTTGTCCTTCTATCCCAATTCTATACCCCGCCTTTATCATTCAGAAGTTGAATGACAAAGCTTCTGTGGCTAGTAGAGGATCTCCCATTTAACAGTTAATCAACAGAGGTTGGGGTAAATATATGAAATGGGTGGCTTGATTTCAACTGGGAGAAAATTTAAGGTCTTGTATTGAGTTTTGCCTAAGGTCCTCCTCAGGTAGAAGGGACCATATTTAAAGATAAGCATAGGTTGCCAGCACCCAAACTTTTTGAGCATTGCTACATTATACACCTCAGTGAAGAGAATCCCTTTTAAGAGAATCAGTTGTATTTTTCTCTCCTCTGTCAGAACAGAAGCATCCTGTCTCCTGCTTGGACGCTGGGCTAACAACTGACATTATGCCCAGGCTGGTTGCAGGAAGGAAAATCGCCTATGGTTGCAGGAAAGAAAATTGCATCATCTATGGCCTACCTTAGTTCTAACCACTGCTTTCTGAATTTACCTCACGGCCTCTGCTTCTGAAACCCTCCCACTGTGAGCTAGAGTGTCTGGGTGGGGGAGCGTGTAAAGCATAAATAATGGAGGATTTGACTCAAGCCAGCCATAGATGGTTCGGATCTCAGCCACTTCAACAGGGACCAGCCGAGGTTCAAATCATCTATGGGTAGGCTGATTGTACCCAATTTGACTGTTGTACAACTAGGGTACAACCAGCATGCCAGATTTTTGCACATGATAATTATTAGCAATAATCATTGTGTTCTCCTGGCAGGAGCAGCTCCCTGCGCTCCATAGCTCCGCATATAAACTGTGTTTATGGGGGAATCAAGGTATTTTTTTTCCTTAATGAATGCAATGTATTGTCTGGTTGAAAGAGGTAGAAAGGCGGGAAGGTAAAA